GAAGCGATTTATTTATTACAAATTTAATAAATGGAAAATTCTGTTCAAACGAACACTTTATTAATGTATTTAATAATATTTCTTGTTCCACATAATTATTTTGCATATTGTATGACACGATGCGAATATTGCGATAATGTTCTTATATAATAACAATTTTTAACGCGTAATTTTTTTCAAGTCATAGATTTAGAACTAGATGTGGAATATAGAATGTTGCAAATTTACATACTATGATTTTCTATTATCTACTATTCTCTACTATTTTCTTGATACATTTCTTTTCATTAAAAACATTCATTACGAGTTAACAATAATAGGAATCGAATTAAAAGAATGAAGCAACCAATGCTATTATAACACTCAAATTAACTTAATATTAAATTTTTGTGTATGATTTTAACCTATTTGCATCGACGAAGCGGAATATTCCGCGAATAGTACCTGCTTCGTGTTATTAAACGCGGAATGATCAGCGAGAAATGATTAACTAAGAATTGTATATTTGAATAGCATACTGTTTACTTTGATTTGTATTTCATTCCTCACAATTTCTGATATTTCATTATAATCAATTAGTATTTATCAGGTTCGTGCGTATTAAATGTCGTTTCATAAAATCGAACGTTAATTGAACGTTAATATGTTCAAAATGTCGTCGGTTTTATCAAAGTAATTTCCATGTCACTCCGTGTATGTTTTCAACGACTATTTTGCTTCAGTATTTCAACTTTTAAATTCAAAGAATCTCAGAGTGGAGCTAATCTCTTCGTTTGTAAATATCTTTAAAATAATCAGGTAAAGTGAAAAGTGTGTTCAGTCATCCCCAAATTCTAAGCTTATGTTCCTAGTAATTCTTTTAATCTTTTCCAAATTTTTTTTTTAACACTCTTCTCTAAATTTAATTTTAAGAAATTTTCATAAATATTTTGCTTATAGATTAATATTATAACAACACTGTTTGATATTTTTTTATTGTGATATTGTTAACATAAACTGTACGTGGTGTGTAATAAATAATTTTTTCTGTTGTTATAGTTACAGTTAACGTTAGGAGAATATTTTATGGCGTTATAAAACTTAAAAAAAACGATATTTAATATGCATCAATATAATGTGATAATACGGAACAATGGATATTTAAATGAATTGATAAATTACACATAATCAATCATATAAACTTGAGTGTACAGGGCCATTATAAGATTTAATTAATAATGACAGGAATATTAAATGACACAATATCAGATAAAATAAGTAACTTTATAGAAAACAGTTTTAAAATAATTTATTACGACTATAAGCATAATCATCGAAATACTCAGAAATATTAGGACAAGCATCGTGATACCATTTTTGAATATTCAATCCAATCATAATAAGTAAACTTCAATCGTCATAATTTCTTTCTAATGCAATTTTCAAACTGTCCAAGTTAATTCCAAAAAATTTTCTTTTTTTAATGTCCATATAGTTGCCTATTCCAACGACTTTTACCTTCTGCTAATATGTAAGAGACAATGTTGTTTCCGAAGAAGATTATTTTCCTAAGCCAATATCAAAATAATTAATAAATTGAAATACTTGTGAAACGATAACATACGACAACGCGATCAGGTGTCTTGCGGCCATGAAAATTTTATAAATCTGACACTGTTCACTCCATTCAGTGCACTAACTTCATACCAAACATAAAGATAGTTAGATGTTATTAAGTTTCGACAGTTATTTATCTAATTCTATTCAATTTTCAAGGATCGTGAAATCTATAATTCACAAGTCATTAACACTTAATGAACCATCGTACCAGTATAATTGTATCGAGCACCTTGTAAAAAATTCATTATTTAACTATATTGCTATAATATAAGAACTGTCTCGCGTTGTTGACATCCTAAATTGTCGGAAGAACGTTAAAATAAATAACGATAATAATAATAATAATAATAATAATAATAATAATAATAATAATAATAGTCGATTAATGTCTTTTTCCATGCGGTCAGAATACTTCGAGACCTGCACGCCTTTCCACCTCAACTTTCGCCGTTGGAACAACTTTATCACATTTCAATTCGCGAAAGTACAGCTAAGTGGCACCCGGGGCCAGAAGAATTTTCCACGGCCAGCCGTCGAAAATCGTATCACGGAACTGCGCCAACTTTAATTTCCCCATTATTACTCGGATCGATTCAACTCGCTGCATATCGAATACGCTTAATCATCGATGCTATTTACGTGTGTAATTACATTTTATAATTACCGTTGCGTTAATTAAAATTGTACGTTATTCCATATTAAATTTTCCGCTCTACGACGCGTAAATGAATTAACGAGAGTATTCATTATGTATGACCTTTTTCAGAAGCTAGAAGACAATGCTCGATTAATCGTTCTTATCGATCCTTCTCTTCCGCGCGATGTCCAATTTTTTCGCAACCCGGACGGACACGTGCACGATTCATCGTTCATGGAAATAGAAACTAGAAACATTCGTCGATCATTTTAACAATCTTGCAAGCAAATACGAGTCCTTATATTGCTCGTATACGTTTACGTTGACGCATCGAACGCGGTTGTGTATCACTAACTAACATAAGTCCCCAAACTGACTGCATTTTTCATTAGTTTTTTTTTTTTTTTTCAATTTCATCGCGCGATTAATGTTGAATTCTTAAGAAACAAGAGTTGAATTCATTTCTATAATTTTGTTCGTGAGAAGAAGGTAACGTAAGCGTAATTGAATAATGAGAAATTGTCTACACTTCGAATGTGACGATTTACTTGTTCTCACATTTTAAAGTATAAAGTCTCTTATGTAATGTGTATACAGGTAAAAGTGAAAGTGCAGATGTTTTTATTTTCAAATTCAAACGTCGTTGAAACATGTTCGTTGACGACTACGTTCACCGTGATCTTGAAGATCAAAATAATTCAAAGATTGTTTTAATATTAAATTACGCTCTTGCACTGTAACTGCACGATTAATATTCGATTCTCAAAAAAAAAAAAAAAAAAAAAAGAAGACTACTCACTTCCGTGAGTTTATTCGTAAGAAGACAGTAAATGATGACATGGATGACAGTAAATTTGGAAGTTAAAAAAGCATTGTTTTCAATTTTCTGTTTTCCAGTTGATGGAGTTGGCCAGCATGACTTTTAAATTAATCACACATGTATATCCATCTACGTGAAATGTGGTGTATCTCATTGCCGGAGAATCGCTTCTAACTCTGCGATTGTAATAATTTATGCGCAATTTCGAATAAATAATGCCGGCTGTTAGAGCCGAATAATAATTTCGTTGGACGCTCCATATTGCGATTGTATTATTCTTAGCGTTAGGAATTCATCATTCACGGGTTTGCTATGAATTATTTAACGAAGACTATATCACCGTAAATAGCTGCCAATTATTCCAGGTAGTTGGCATCGAGATAATTGAGATATAACGAGTAGACTATAACTATCCTAGTTCAATTAAACGAAGTAGAACCCTGTAAATTATTGCGGTCCAATGAAACCAACCTAACGGAAAGATCAAAAGTTATTTGTGCGACGAGTAGAATTAGTACGATTAGGATAACGCAGAAGGATAAATCAGGATCTTCTTTTTGAAGATTTTTTTACGACTTTTCTCTCTCTCTCTCTCACTCTCTATGTATGTGTGTTCCATATAAACTATTTTATGTAAACTCTCTATATACACACACACTCTCTCTCTCTCTCTCTCTCTCTCTCTCTCTATTCTACATAAGCCATTTCATATTTGCTGAAGTTAATAGCATTTCTACTTCACGTGTATTGGTAAATTGACTAAAGCTAATAAACCGAAGAGCATAGTAACTAGATCAATAACCACAGATTTCGTGTAAATCGTTCACTATTACTGTTAACATTTAAGTTAACTTTAACGTTGAACTCTAAGTATCAATCTTTGAACGACTACGTGTGCAATATCCTACGAACACTTTGAAGATGATTATTCCCTGCTATACAATTCATCATAACTTAAAGGTAAATAACTACTGGAGATAAGAGATTTAACTTTTTCAAACTATTTAGAATTGTTTTTAATAAAAAAAAAAAATTAGCATTAGTGAAAGGGTTAAAAAAATACAGGAAATACAAAAAGTTACAGAAATATTTTGCACAATGCCGAGCTGGAAAATTCCTAAAAGCCTCTGCTTATTTTCGCACGCTTAAACTTAGTTTTCTCAAAGATTTTTTTTTATTGTAAAAAAAAAAAACATTCTTTTCATTCAAATTGTAAAAAAATCGCAGGTCAACTTCTGAGAGATCGCTTTAAAACATAAAAGAAATAAAAAAATGTGGAAAAAATATTTTTCAAACATACGCCTTATAGAGCCGTTTTTGCATTCGTAAAATTTCCAGAAAAAAAAATCGATTTCGCTGAATTTTACAATAAAAAAAGTGTCTCTTGAAAAAAAAGCACGAAAACAGGGGCTTGAACGATCTTCTTACGCGAAGTTACAAAGCTACAGGACCTTCGAAATTATTAATTCGACGATCCTCTAATTTCGCAGAGTGATACACAGGTCAACGATCGTATCAAAGGGATTGAGCCCCGGATTTGGCGAACGAGAGCGGACTTCCGCGAATTGCGGAATTACGTCCGGGACGCGAATGATGGCGCGCGCCGGCGAAATTACGCGGAATGAAAATTGGAAAGGTCGGAGGGTAAACGGCGCGAGACCGGGGAATCGGCTGAAAATGAAAATGAAAACGAAAAAAAAAAAAAAAAAAAAATTAAAAAGTCTATGAATTGTTGAGAATTCGCTGACGCGAATTAAAGGATTTATTCGCCGCGCGGTTAGGTCAGATTTAACAGGGAAGAAAGATGGAGGGGGGGAGTTGTACAGCGACGACGGGGATGGCAGGTACGTTGAAAATAACACGAACGCCCCGCGGCGTTCCACGAGCGTCGTTTCCCCATGACGATAACGATAATACCGTGCTTGCCACGCTACAAAGTATAACCTAATTATCTGTCCGACACGGCGCGCCGCGGCGGTTCCTCCTCCTCTCGCGTTCTACGCCTCTCTGTAATACGCAACTGCATTCAACGGTTGCTGGTCCGCTTGCATCTTCATTATAGAGGCGAATGCACGCTGCATTTGCTTTACACTTTGCCCGGCCCGTTCGTCGACTGCCTGTCGCTTTAACAACCATCTTCTCATGCCGCGCCGCGCCGAGCTTCCACTGTCTATTCATCTCTGATCTCGAAGGCCTTTTCTCTTCGCTGTCGAAATTGATGATTCTGTTAGTTTTTACGAGGCTGATAGACGATCCTGGGCGGAGTTCAAGGCGACTCGAGAAGCTGACTTTAAATACGAATATAGCGAGATGAGCGGATACTAAATCGATAGCAAGCAGTGTGATTGCTAATGCGAGTGTTTATTAGCGAAACGAGGAGAATCGTGATCGAAGAAAAGCGACGTAGGTATCTAATAATGGTAGAACACATTTATTTCTAGCTACATAATTATTGGTTAAGGGCATTTAACAATTGTCATGTAATAAATCTGACATCGTGAGTTCTATAATCTTCTCCTAATTTTGAGACAAAATTTTTGATTTCTATTGATTACTGACTATTTTTTCATTCTATTTTTTAAATGACTTGAAGAATGATATTTTGTTACGATACCTTCCGCAGGCACGAGCTTCTGAAGTTCTGGCGATATCATACTTTGAGGTACGTTAGAAGAATAACAGATTCCTCTTCGTTTGATTCAAAACGACGGTAAGTAACTACGAATAATTGTGTAAGTTTTCACATCCAGAATCTAATATATGACTTTATTACCTACCCATTACAAATATATGAATCGCTGATTAACTTCAGAAAATTGAAATATACAGACTACAAGTTAGCAATTGTAAATATAATTTACCTTTGATATTCACAATTATTCACGCTACCTCCCTGTAATAAATAATAACTGGTGAATTTATGAATCGCGATAAATCGTGAGCAAACGAAACCACGGATACTGAAACTAAAATAAGTCTGCAGCTAGGTTCAAACTCGGAGTCCTCAACATTCGAACCTTTAAACTCGAAGATTCGAGCTAATTTGAATTGTGTACAATGACGATTACTCACGATAATAAATCTTAAAAGCTTTGAAGATTGAATCTCAAAGCTTCGAACATTATCTTAAAAACTTCGTAATCTTAAATCTTGGAAACATAATCTTAAAAACTTCTAAGGTGGAGTTTCGACGTTTGCAAGATTCTAGCGTCTTTATATTCTCCTCTCGCGATTTTTCGTACTGTCTGTCGACAATCGGCGAGTTTCCTGAAATGCGACGAAACACGATCAAAATGTTGACGATCACGCTTTAACGCGTCGAGCAATCTAGTAAAGCGATTACTGGAAACGTTGGCTTGCAATTGAATTTTTCCTGGCAATTGGTTGTCGCGTACGCTCCGCCAACTAATTCAGCGAAAATAGAATATCTGTCGCAATCGACGACACGATTATCGCGACGTTGATGAAGTTTCGGCCAATCTAGCGCGTCCACGTCCGTCGTCCCCGCAACGTGTTGGGGCGTTTCGACGATAGTAATGAATGTAAAGTAGCTGCTTGATCGAGAAATCATCGCGCGACCAAGCTTTTTTCCACTCTCTCGGATATCGAGGGAGTCAATCGAGTGCAATAATGATGTATCTCGTTTGCGCACAGTGGTTGACGAACATACTTGAACGTTCATTCACGCAATTTGGGTCTTCTGTTAATTTTGTTCTCTTAATAATTATTCATTGTTAAGAGAACAAACAATATTAAGACGAGAGATTTTAAATTTCGTCTATCGTGATTACGTTGGTGAAACTTGAAATGAGCCTGAAGACGTATAGAGGTTCAGTTAACATGGACTACTATCTAAAGTAAATTGTTATTTATTGATGGTACACGTAAAATAAAAAATGTTTTAAAGAAATACTTCAAGTTGCGCTTGAACAGACTCGTTATTTTGATTCATTTACATTTCATATCACTTTTGGCATATCAAAGTGATTTCGAACGAGTGACGAATTGCTCCAAATGTGTTGAGTATAATTTCTTCACATGTTCCTCGAATACATTGTTTTTGGTTTATTTCAGAGAATGATTTAGAACGGAAATGTCAAATTGACAACAGTTTAGAAATACTTATCTCCCTCGATAAATTGATATGTAATGAATGCCAAAAAATATAAAAAAAGATTGATTAGTATTCATCAGATGAATCTTCTGAAACGCGATGTAATTCATTCAAAGCGTTTATTCGTACAACCAATAAGAAACAAGTTATTTTAGGTAATAATTCTTATTGATTTACGCGGCATAGATGTCACAAGATATTTATTGCTACATAGAATGTAGCAATCAATTATTGACTATACGACACAGATTCTGGGCCACTGCAACAAACCGAATATCGCGATAAAACGAATGACGCGAATTGTTTGGTTTCTTAATACGTACAAAAGTCATAATTTATTTTACATTAAACATTAAGCATTATATTACAAAAAAAAAATATACATATGCACATATACGAGAAATATGATACATAAATAATTTACTGTTGAAAAACTAGGTACTTCTGTTATTAATAAATTAGGACATTTGGCTGGAAACCCTAATTACATATTTAAGACCATTACTCGTGCTTTGCGCTAAAATTTTACTACGTGCATATTAGCAATAAATAATGTATAATTTCCATGCACATTTTCACGATAATTCGGTCTCATTACAGTATTAATGAAATTTCGAAATATTTTATACAACGCTGCCTGTTTTATATATACAGCTAGATAAAGATCCTCCCATAGTAAATATTTCAATACTATCATAAATAAAACTGTGTGTATCAATGACGCGCTCATTGCTAAGATTTATTGTTGTTATAACGGAATTTAATATGAAGCGTAAATTGCAGCGTAGCTATATGTCGTCAGGTAATTAGGATCGAATGCGTATTTGCGCGCGTTGTACATTGTGAATTTTATATCCATCCTTAATTTGCATACATATATATATATATATATACGTATTACGCGTACGTAAATATACGTATATATACGTATGTGTGTAGAAACATCGCTCAATGTATAATTGCGGTTATAATTATTTATGCATGATTACTCGCAAATAACGAACAGCGATCTGAAGTTTTCGTCGTGTTGTTCGTGAAAAACGAACGCTGAAAGCGACGAATTGTTGAAAAATATAAGGAAGAAACGTTTTGTTCACAATTGTTCAAATCATTCTAAAAGTCCACAGTTATAAATTTATAAAACTAATACATGTTTCTACAACTAAAACGTGTCTCTACAAAACTAAATTAAATGATGATGCTATCTGTAAAATTAAATTTCTATGAAAAATTGTAAATTAATTATTTTGGCTACTTTGATAGTTCCGCACTAAAATTCACTTTAGATTATATAAGAATGGAAAATAGTGATTGTGGAAAGAATGGATATAACCTTTAAGTATTATAGACATTGAAACTTGCATAAACTTACTGTGAAAAGCTTTTATATCGCTAATACTTATTGCGTCATTACGTACGTGCAAGTAAGATTAAATTCAATTGTATTTGCTTTGTATTGACAATAAAGAATTTTAAGCGCAATTCAATAATGTATTGAAAAATTTCAAATAAAAATATAAAATAATGCAGAAGGAAAGAATAGGAATAGGAATGAAAATTCCTGCTTGTTAGCAGCATCGCAGATGATCTATAGTCTGTAGTCCAAATTAATAAGGAAAATAATGGAATTTTCGGATAATAAAACAATCATTTCTCTGGTTGCACGTATTCGAATGAAAATAAAGAAAATTGGCAGTTTATTTCAGTACTTAAGAATAATTTATATTTTCTTCGTTATTGAAGTACCTAACTTTTCGAGCACAAAGCACCGAAATTCTTTTCTAAATACCTTGAATGTTTCACCGTAAAGGAAGACACGTCCCTCTGCATTTTCGTTTGCTGTTTATGAAAAAATTATATCTATAATATTTCTGCTACTTGTTAACAAAACGTTAATTAAACGCAACGAGCATTGGCCCTTTATCTCATCAGCATTGTTTTCTCAATTAATGTATTCTTGTTCTGTAATTATAAGAAACACATAAAACATGTAATAATACATAAAACATAATTCACTGCGAGAAAAAGCATCTATTGTTAGTGAATGTTCTATTCGAATAACAATGAAAGTCTCAATGAAAGTAAAATATTTGGATATTGAAATATAATAGGACAATAAGATTTCGGATTTAAATAATTAGACTACGCTGTACACATACTTCTCATGATGATCTAATCATTGGATATAACCTAATTGTAATCCAATTCAGCTGTTGCACTTAAATTATCCACTATAATCCAACTTATTTTTTACGTGACCACTAATTGTAATCTAACATTTGATCTATTTGCTACTAGGCACAGTTGTTGGATGATACTTACTATACATACCAGGCCTGCGACCAAACAGAATTCAACGTTCGTATTTATTCCCAATTAAATGTCTTACACTTCCTGTGAAACGCACACACGTACAGAATCTATTAGAACGAAAATGATTCACTGTCAATATCTATCTCTGATTTCACATCAGTTCGCGTTTCGTACGTTTCACGTCGCGTGTATCTCGGGATAATGTCGGAACGACGGTGAAAATTTCCCCGGTAATTTTTTTTCATCACGTTCGTCGCGCCAAAGACTAAACAAATAATTCGCGTAATTGCGCACGTGCAGAGATATACTGTTTAGATTGGTCGTTCTCCACCTGCTTGCAATTGTTCCGCGGAACGCCTTCGGCAGAATCTCCAACACGATCCGATCCGACTAAACGGCCCTGTATTTACCACAGAAGTTGAGGGTATCGCGCCAAACAGTACAGTTTGTTTTCGATCAGTACACTTTCCCTGGACTCTGCACAGCCGGGAAATATCGTGTAATTTACGGGTGTCGGATGTGTTGTCGGTTCCCACCGTCTGTTACGAATTCCGGTCGAAATCGCGCGACCATGATCTTTCGTTCGAGTTGCAACCAAAACGAGTCCAAATTGGCCACGGTCGAAAAATTATGGTCTTTCGCGAAATTGTTTATAGAAACTGCTGTCGAAATAGTGGACGCGTTATGTTTTTCGTGCGATATCGTATCGCGTCGATGGTTAAACGAGCGTTTTTTTTCTTTTTTTTTTTTTTTTTGCCAACAGTCGATAGCGCGGAACATCCGGGAATCGCAGGCGTTTTACATTTTGTTTAAAAACAATTTGTTCCGCTCGGAACCGCGCGCATGATAACGCGCGATTGGTGGACAATACGTCAAACAGACACACGCGTGCTATTACGTAAAAATTTATTTGACCGTTCTGATTGTTAATAATAATACAACTCAGCGTATTCGCATGCTATTTACACACAATTGCTTGAACAAGCGTTTCGTTTTCTTCGAAATTTCCCCTGCTACGTTCTCCACGTCGAGGAGAAAAACTTGTGCATATGTACATCCGTCACGCGAAGCGACGAGCTTCGACTGGATCGAAGTGAGTCGATCTAATAATACTTTGTTGTCCATTTCGGTAAAAAGACAGGAGAAGGAAACGAAAACGTATATGGCACGTTAAATTGCAGCGAGCAATGCAACAGGCAATAAATAACGTTCTAATACGATAGTTGCTCGAATAAATTGTAAATAACAGGTACAGGAATTATGGAAACAGTGTCTGGATGAAACTGACGATACATCGCGTTTTTCTATTTTTCTTTTATGCCTACTTATTACACCTACTTACGCTACCGCTCAAAAATCTTAGAACATTCTTTTACTTTCAATATTCGGTATTTATTGCGGACAATCGAATCTTTAAATTGCACTTGACAACGTAATTGTCACTGTATTAAGTGTAGAAATGAATTCGGTACTTTTGCATTGGATTTGAGTTAAATTGTGAATCGTTTATGATGTACGCGTTGCAGATTATTAAAAGAAAGTGTATCTTTTTTTTCTCATTTTCAACTCGAGACATGTCTGACCAAGAATACAATTGACGTGAAAATTAAACACAAGAAGATCTTGTTGCACAAAATAGAATTTGCTATTAGAACGATCTTTAAGCAAGATCAATAAATAAATGTCGAGATTGTCTAAAATGGTACAAAATTAATTTCTACATCTAATATTAATTATACTTTATTATACTTAATATTAATTATTATTTATTATACTTAAGTTCTTACAAATGTTTTCTTATATAAAGAATATTTTAATCTCTCTAAATATGAAAGAAATATATTTGTCTTAAGATTTTCGAGCGTGGATGTACTGTATATGCTACTACTGCTACTTATGTACTATTGCTTAAATCCTAAGGAAATAGGCACTTGTGCCCGATCGTTATATACATATACACGTCGCGAAAAGCGTATAATTGTAACGCGAAGAGTGCGGATTTTTATGCAAATTCATAATTTTGTAATTAAAAAAACCGAAATTTAGGCAGAGACTTGTTTCACCTATTAATCCTAGAACGATTAATTGTAAGTTAAATGCTAAATAGAAAACGTAGAAGGTACATTATTTCTTTCGTTTTGAGAAATACTGTAAAATTTATACGATACATATTCTTCACTGAAACGAATTTTTCGTAAGGTCCAAATACTTCTTTCATTTTATCTTTGTACGTAAATCAAATACAATAGATTATGTTTATTGATGTAACATAATTTTAGTCGACGCTCGATTAATTGAACTTTTCATTTATCTATTATGTGAACGACAAATAATTTTACGAGTGACCTTCGTTAACAAGTCTTTTTTTTTCCCTTTTTTGAAACATTCTAAACTAGTAACATTTATAATTTAAAATATGTTCATTTATATTGAAATAATATAGTGAAATATGCAATACAACAAAGAAAAAGTTCACTGTCATTTTTACATACATGATGATACTTTATATAACAAAAAGAAAAGTCAATATATTAACAATTGTATTCCAGAATATACATACAATTCAAAAAATTTGTCAACTACAATAAAATACTAAATATTAAAAATGAAAAGTGTTCCAGGACTTGAACGGGAACGTGATACATAACATGATACATGAAAGAGGAGAAATATTATCATTTATACATAAACATGGATGGAGAACATTTCCTAATACATACCACTTTAATATTCCACGATATTTCAGGGAATATCAGCATTTAAAAAATATCTTCCGATGTAATAGAAAATATAATAAACTCAATGGCTTAAGAATTAGTCGTTCTAGAGTTAAATTCACTATAAAGACATTGTATAATATACTCAAATATTTCGTATATCTCTGTGTATTGTACTTACTTTATGCATTTTCGTACGTTTAAATTTCTCGACGAGCGCATAAAAGTCCGCAATCCGATAACGCACAACGACGAACATTTTGTATTTTTATCTGTCCCTCTCTAAACTGTACAAAATAAAGCGGCAGCCATCGGTCGATTAATCGTGCAAGTCGATCTCGACTCTCTGCAGAAGATCCGGCTCTGTAAAGAGAAGGATAAAGGGAATTTCAACGCAACGCCGATGCGCTAGATCTAGATTGGTTAAAATAATTCCCGAAGATTCGAGCACTGGCGCGTTAAAGCGTTTGCTGAATTTATGGCTCTCGAGCCCCGTCGAGGGACGAGAGAGGTTTACCGTTTCGATTTTCCTCGACGTACAAGCTGGCTCTTTGAGAACGCCTGCCATCGCCCGAGTATCTGATCCTTGGCTCGATCCTTTGAGCGGAAACGTAGGTGGGAGTGGTGAAATCGTCCGGGCCGTCTTTGACCGGAGACGTGGTCCTTCTCCTGCAGATAGCCAGCCCGATGATCACTCCGATACCAATCAGGATCAAAGCCGCCGCACCTTCGGGTCCAAAACTCTCGTTCGTTTTTGCTTGTCCGTGAACATGCGCGCTCCAAACGCGTTGAAACACACGACTGCTCCAATTTGTCGATATACTCGCGACGAAAGTAACGCAACTCGCGGAACCTAATAATTTCCGAGTTACCGCTGTGAATGAATGTTGCGGAGATATTTCTCGATCAATTGTGAACGGACTTTATATACTTGTGGAAAATCGGAAGATGCAAATGATCCAACTAAAATGTAAGTATGTTTGTCATTTAGCTACCATTTCATTTACATCGACTGATGGAAATTATTAATTTGTAATTTAAAAAAATTATTAATGTGTATTGGTAAGATGAAAAGTGATACTATTGCATATTGAATTATAACGTTTCCTTTTAATCAGTTTTTATTATCAAATTTTACTGTTTAAAATACCAAGGAAATAATTACGCCTCCAATAGCCTGTAATTATTTTCATCGCATACGTCAGTAAGTCTGCACTTAAATTGACGAAATGTTTGGTTTCTTTTATTGAAGATAAAAAGTAGAACTCATTGATAGGTAAATTGACACGCAATTTAAACGCAAGACTCGTTGAAATAAAATCATTGTCCAATCATACTGGACACAGGATCACGAAGAATTAATATTTCCACATCGTACTATATCTTCTGCGTACATTTTATAAAATTTCTCAAATTGACGCATTTACAGTACTTTAATAAATTAAAATTAACTAGTTAAAAACTACAATACGATAAACAGTTAAAAACTACAATACGATAAACATAGCAAATAATATGATATAACAAAATAATATCCTAACTTAGTTAAAGAATCATTTTCCGCCCCGTATCATCTCGAGTCACGTCACTTTCGTCGTAAACGCGCGATATATGCTTTCGATTACCTGTACCTGTCAGGGCGATAGCGATGATCATATTTTCCGAGCTGGCCTTGGGGAGCGCCTTCTTCAGATCCTCCAGAAACAAGCCGTTCCTTTCGATTTTCCCGCCGATAACACCGGCGACCCGGACGTGCTCCAACAACGCCGGCTCGCTCCTTCCTCGTCCGTTCACCGCGTACACGTACAACGTGTAATCGAAGCCAGGTTCAAGACCGTGCAGCTGAAAGTTCGGCCTTGGATTTCGCTCCTGATATATCGCCGGCACCTCGCCGACCATTCCCTGATCGCTTTGAGGCGCGTGCAGCGTCGACGGGCTCGCATGAACGACGCCGGCATTCCTCGGGATCCCTCGTACCTCGAGCAGAAAGTATTGCGGCGAGCCACCGTCCTCGCCGGGGATGCAATTCACCTCCAACGAGTTGGTCTCATTGTGCAAAGAACAATCGAACGGAGGCTGCGGTGGCTCTGCAAACGGGGAAGCAAACGGTTCGTTACATTGGAGGGGCAGAGTGAGTGAGTGACTGGTTGTCAGAGATGATTTCCGAGATCTTCTTCGAAATACCTTAGTCGAACCTGAACGATTGTTGGATTTAGGTCTGTCAAGTTTCGCGGACCGACCTCAAGTTGTTTCGAATTGTCTGTGTAAACGCGGTGTTCGTTGAAACGTTTTCTAATTGTCTAACCATTCGTGTTTAACCATTTCTGATCGTTTCGATTGTATTTCGTAGCTTTCGATATTTCTGCCCTTCCCTTCTCAAAGAGATTGAATAAATAAGGAGACAATTTGGACAATTTTTGGTAAACTAACGGAGAACAATTAAAGATCATCTTATGCTTCGTATTGCTTCGAATTTAGTGTTATAAATTTATGATGATTTGTTGTAAGATATTATTTGGAGCCAACTGCTTTTCACATTACATTCTTTTTGATGAAATAAAGGAAAAAGTTGAGCTAACTCCACCTTTCAATATTTTGTTAGATAATATGTATGATAATTCTCACGTCATATCAATAACTAGACGAATTTTTATGCAAATTCATATTTTTGAAAATATAAAATTCGATAGAAAATTGTTTCACGTATCTTCGTATTATAAGAAACATTGTATATTTTCCATGTCATTAAAATTTCTTATAAATGCATAAAAATTGTCAATCACAAAATTGGTTTTTCATTTTTCGTCGACGAAATTGAGGAGAAAAATGTTATCACTCCCCCGGACTGAGAGATTCTCCGTTCCTCCGTCGCGAGGAAGGCTCCTCCGACCAAACGAAAAAGAGGCCGAAGCGAAAGTTTCGTCAGGTCTGTTCCGTGGAATTCGTTCTAGTTATCAATTTCCAAGGGCACGTACTTGCCGGCACGATGTCGAACACACAGGGCGTCCTTTGTCTGCCGACGCTGTTGCTGGCCCAGCAAGCGAGAGTTCCGAAGTCGGTGTCAGCGGTAGGAGTGTACTCGAGAACGCTAACGAGCCCGTTATTCCGAGCTCTGGAGTTCGGCATCGGCAACACGTCGCCGCGCGTCCCGTTGTACGTCCAGGAGAACCTCACCGCGTCCTTCGGCACGGCGTCGACCTCGCAGCGCAGCGACACGGTTTCGTGGCGACCAGCCGTGACCTCGCGCCGCTCGTGGCCCGCTCGGCATCTCGGCGCGTCTGCCCGCATAACGGAAACACAACGATCTTTCGCTGAGCAAGAGATCTTTCGAGAGCTCGAGAGCCCGCGGGATCACCGCGCACTTACATTTCATCTGAACGAAAATCGGCGGGCTCCGACCCTCTCTCACGGAGTTGATCGCCTCGCAGGAATACTCGCCGGCGTGCGCGAGAGTGAGCACCCTCAGTGTCAACGTGTTCGAGGCTATCAACGTCCCGCCGGCCACATCGTGCTCCAATCGATCGTCCTGAAAAACGTGAGCGTGATTCGCGCTACGGTACGTTTTACGAGGGCAGACCCGATTCATCCAATTTGGACGAAACTTTTCGAGCAAAGATAGCGTATACGTATGTATCTTCTTTTAGCTGCGACGACTTGAGAGGCGAGAGGGGCTCGAGGAGCTGGGTCAACTTTTAAAGTTTAAAGCCTCTTAGAAGCTAACTTGGTGAAAGATTTTTCTTTTCTCTTTTTTTAAGAATTCAATAGTTTCTAACATACTGGAAGAGAGAGTGGTTGAGAAGAAATTTTCAAAAATGTTTAAAAACAATAGGTAGGTCGTGTATATATATAGTTCTTCTTTTCTGATTACTGATAACTAATTATTTATCTTAATTGACGAGGCGATTATTTTGTAATGAAAAATGAAATATTTCTTCACAATCAGTGTATTTTTTTCAAAAGAACGTAGACTATCTAATATCTTTGGATTATTAGCAATTCAATTTTCTTTTATTTGTAATTTCCAAGTCAGCTAGAAAAATATATAAATCCATTGTTTACAAAGTACATATCCAAATTGTTCTTTGAGCTTTCATCCAAATTGGTCTTTCCTTCTTATTGGAGTATGCAATGGTCGGATACGTAATAAAATGTTTCTGAACACTCTCCTAAATGGTATTAATTATACATGATTCACCAGACGACAACTACCTCGATTAAAATTTTTAGCTGGTGGTTGTAAAACTGTCTCTTCTCAGAGCAATAGAGTGTATATTATATTAATGTTACATTAAATTAATGTTTAAATCCATCTAAACAGTATGCTCAAGTCTCTTTGACACAAATCTACTCTTTTATTAATTCTTTTGTTAATTCATTGATTTCAGTAATTACGTTTGATTACTAACCTTTCGCCTGCCAGATTACAAAGTAGAATTAATACGTATCAAAACTTTATTTATCTATAAAAAAGAAGGTACTTCAAAATAAAACTAAATCTCCATTCTATCAGTACAGTCACTACAAAACTACGTTATTTACGATAAGGCAAGAGATCGTATTAATAATTCAAAATTAAAACTTCGAACTTCAAGTTGATTAATAAATATTAAATAACAGTTTAAATTCCGATAGATCTATAAAGTTTGACCATTTCATACGTAACAATTCAATATCAAATGTGCAAATGATGTGAAAAATCCTCGTACCTTGTGATACCAAATGATTCTAGTCGGTGGTGGATTACTCTCTACGTCGCACACTAACTTCAGATCATCTCCTTCTCTGAGAGTATCCAGAACATAACCGGTAGCCAGATCGATAGAGACAATCGGAGCGTCTGGAAGCCGAAGAAACAAAATTAAGAACACTCGTTTAAATTAAAAAAAAAAAAAAAAACACGAGACTCACAGGCAACGTCCAGAACCTCAGATTGTTCGAAAACTCCGCCGGGAAATCTGGGATTCTCGGCTCTGCAGGTTAATTTCTTGCCGTTATCGTCCTTCCCGAGAACCAGTGCCAGCTTGCTAATCGTGGAATTGCTTCTCTGCGTGGTCGATACGTTCGGATCGCCTATCACCTGTCCACCTAGCTTCCAGATGATCCTGGCAGCCGGCGAACTTCCCCAGGTTTCGCAGCGTGCGGCGATCGGGCGCCCGGCGTAAATCCGATTTTCTATCAGGACGATCTTGACGATCGCGGGCTTCACTGCGAATCGAATCGACGATTACGTGTTTCGCTCGCCTCGTGTTGCCAACGATAGCATCTGAGACACCGACTCAAAGCTTGAAATTCTTGGAAATTTTGTTAAGTCTTTAGAAAAGGCATGGTTTCCCTGTCAGCAAGGATTTTCACGGTTCACTTCACTCCACGTTAAGAAAAAAACCAATATTAATAACATCAATTGAATGCGTTTAAACAGATTAGTTATACGTGAAATATTAAATGAATTTTTATTTGATTAAAACCAATTTATACGAGTATCAACATCCTAAAACAGAAGACTTCTTCTGATTCTTTGGAATGCAAGATACACGTTTACAATTCGAGTTTCCTGGACTATCTTTGATATTTCATACTGTGAAATAATGATGTTGTCCGATGAGTAATCAAGAAGCTTGTACGACGGACATTCCTCACAGACTTTACCGTAAATCTCAAGACTTCCGGAAGCTTCCAAAACGACCGCGAGTTTCCAAAACTTTGAAAGTTCAAGACTCGTCGTGATTTCCGACAGTTTCAACGAAATCATTCGAATTCGTGGTCAAACGTACCACATACAGATTCGAAAATCCCGTCACTGATCACGTGACCATATTCCGTCGACACTGACGTCAAAGATATCCTGGAACTTCGTTCTAATTCAACTCCGACGATTCTCCAAGGATCCGCGAACGCGTAGACAAAAAAAAAAAAAGAAAAAATATTTCTCGAAAACAGCTCTACGGCCAAATAAGTAGATTCGAGCTGCGGCGAAAATAACGGGTCGAGGGAGCCACATGCTCGCCACTCGAACTCGCGTATTTTTACTTTCAACGACAATTCCACGAAATGCGGCCGTCAAAGGAGTTAAGGAGAGGTCCGCGCGCGACATCGTTGGAATTCATCTCGCTTCCGCCGTGGGTCACTAGCACCGACTATATTTAAATTTCTTTCTTCTTCGTCGACCGAGCCGCAGGACACTCGGATGAATAACAGCGACGCTGTTTCTTCCCGGGCAGGATGTCCGGCGGTTATGTAGGAACGTTGAGGAAGCCATTGGCGTGCAGCCGTGTATCAGAGATCGTACACGCAGCCTCGATCCGACCTGGAAATTCGTCGGCACCTCGCCGGAGAAATACGAACAGCTTGCGTAACGTTTAGAAGCCGGCCTCGTCTTCTTCGTACACTCGCTTTTTTTTTTTCTTTCTGCGCACCGTCTTGATTCGGCTTCGTTCGAGATATCGACAGGAAGCGGAAGGCGAACGCAAAGCGAAGCACGCGCGTTCTAAAGAGACAGCGGTGAATTGAAACTCGTTTCTCGACGTTCATCGCACTCCGGAACTATTTTCGCATTCACTTGCGCAACAGTTCAACAATCACAGATACAATTTATTCGTTTGTTAGATTAAATTTATTGTCTGTCCCTTTTTCATCTTTGATTTGATGATTTTTTTTTTTTGGCATGTTTGTTTTCTGTTAATATTTCACGATGTTGTGTGTTTTTAAACAAAATTTGTAGAAGTATATCAAATAATTGTAAATAATTGTACAATCAAAGAAAGCGCATAATATCATATTGCTAACATTCTGAGTGCGAAGATTTAACTTTTTCACTAACTGTTCACCAATCAAATTACGCGGGTTACCCCAAATGACCTACTCCAAAATATAATATATGTAGCCATAATATTTCTCTCGTTCTGACATTCTTAATCTTTTCTTCTTCTAAAAGGAATCGTATTCTTGTAACAAGAAGATATTCCTTATGTATAGTAAAAAAATAATGCGTATTACGTGTAATAAATATAGTATTGATAATTCATTTAACTATAATTTATGAACCCAGAGTTGTGTGTGTATACCTAAGTAAGTTCGAAGCTTGGTTATTTAAAATATTAATATTTTTACACTGAACATAATATTGACACAAGAGTGTCCAGAAAGTTTTACGATATTTGTTTGAAGAACAATAATTCATTATGGCCAAGAACAATATCCACTCCTTTATCACATATTCGTATTCTTATCGACGATACTTGAAACACTTATTATCTTCTACGCATCATATCTTTCTATATTGTTTATTTTATCCAATTAAATAACTGAGTAAATGAGTAAAGAATTATCAAGTAGTCTACAGAAGGATTAAAGCCTCCACGATCGCTTTTAGCACGCTTTAAGATTCGAAGATGCGACCTTGAGCAGCGCGCACATTTGTTCTATTTTATTCTCGCCAGATGTTACGCACGCACGTCGCTCACGATTGGCTTTTTCTTTTTTTTTTTTTCTTTCTTTCTTTCTTTTCGAGACGTATCGTTGTCGATGTCGAGTATCGCGACGAGAAAAGGTAACGACGTTACTTACGGTAAATGTCCAGAGGTACTTCGCGGATGATCGGAGCGGACATCTGCTCCGACTGGGCCCTGCACTCGAGCTTCGTGCCCCACAACGATCTGGTCACCTCGTTGATGAACAGACGGTTCACCGTGAATTTGCTGGGCGAGCCGATTGCAAGTGTGTCAACCACGGCGTCCAATATCTTACCATCCTTCCACCACACTACCGTGGGCTTTGGCCTTCCTATTTAAGAGAAACAATAATACGATCAGAGCGACTGTTCAAGAAGTTGAACGTTGGAGAAGAAAAAAAAAGGGTGTTTACCCCCGGAGACCTGACAGGTCAAGTCGAGGTTGTAGCCTTCCAAAAAGGGACCAGCCACTCGTGTCACCTCTCGTCCCTGAGCGTCGTATATCACAGGTCTGGATGGTTCTTCTGGAGAAAAGAAGAAGAAGAAAAAAAAGAAACGCGAGCTCGTTACGCTTGTTACAGTTGAGGAGTAGATACAATTGAGGCAATAATTATACCTAGATTACGCGACTGAATCATTTTTTCATTGTTTACACGCTGCAAAAATATTTATTCACTAATGTTGAAAATTTAAACAATTTCTCAAAGTTGCCAATATTTTTTGTTTGTTAGAAATATTTTTGATTCAGTTTCATTTTGGGCCAAGTAATAACCGATTGTTGAAGATTTTAATTTGAAAGACCAAAGTAGATTTATTTCTTGTTTTTTTTTTTTTGTTTCACAATGTTTTTTAACGGCTTAACAAATTTAACAGTGAGTAGTGTAAAATTAATATTTTCTATGATTTTTCTTTGATTGATTGATATTTACAAAGTATTATATAGAAAACTGTACGTGGTCCGTTTTCAATAATCTTAAAATTTAAAAATAAAATCTACGTTTCCTAGAGAAAATAATTTGCATTCGTACAGCAAGAATTTACAACTATGCTAAAACCTAGAGATGCATAAAATATAAATGCTAATAAGTTGTCAAAGCTAAAAATGTTTCATTGCCAAAGACATTACGTAAAATTGAATCAATGAATGTTTCTTGTTGCGAGCAACCAAAGAATTGATTTCAGTTACCAAAAATGTTCGCGTGTACGTTCATCCTTCGTATATCTTGACATGAACATTAATAAGAGAGTGTTTATATAACTTTATTGAACTTAAGGTGTCACTAACCGACAAGCGTGAGATTCACGCGGAAGTTCCTCGTCGGAGAATTGATAAAATCTACCCTGCATCTGAAGATTCCTTGGTCCTGGACGGTGACCTTGGTAACTTTGAGCTTCGCTCGATGGCCATCGCCGATCTGAAAGTAGGTCCTCTTGCCGAGATCGTCGCTGACCGCCCAATGAATGGCGGAGGCAAGATCCTTGCCTCTCGCGTCCAAACTGCGTAAGAAAGAATTTATTTCTTTCACCCATTTTATCAGTAATTAACGATTCTCTGTTACAACTGAGAAAAAAAAAAAATAAAAAGAGGAAATGAAGTTAGAAGTTATAGAGTACATCCGTCCTTTAATCTGTTCCTTTTGTTAGTATCAGTGGCGAAAATATCTCAGATGGAAATGTGTATAATTAAATTAGATTTATTTTATTAATTGATTAAATTCATTCATTAACAATTTCATATCATAAATCCAGCATGTATTCGCATACATTTTATAAGAAAAGTGTGTCAAATTGAAACAAGAGACGAATAAGACTTAGATAAAAGAAAACTCTCTGCGTTTAGAGATCGTGAATTGTAAGACAAGCGATGATGATGAAGCAGTACTTTATACTTCAGTTAGAACTCGTTTGTTAAAGGAAATAAATAGAAAGATCGTTCGATCGCGAGACACGATTCACTTCCTCTCGAGATCAGAGTAGCGAGGTTACCCGGTTACCAGGAACATCTTGCCGATCAGCAGGGCGAAATTCTTGGCTCGATCGACGCCGAGTCAACGATCGTGCACAGCTTGACGTTTCCGGGGTGTAAAAGAAGCTGATAAACACCGAGAACTGCGGACCCCCTCCGTTGGCCAATTTTAAATGACTAACTCTAGAACGCGCGGTTATTTGCGGAGAAAAGAAGGATAGTTGGCAAACGAGCAGTCAGCGAATTTAGATTCGCCGCGAACGCAGGTTGACCGTTACGCAATGTCGAGGAGGAAATCACAGCGGGCGACGTTGATGGGAGAAAGAACGATTCGCAGTGGATTTTCTTCAAATTAGCAGCACCAACTTCTGATGGCACACTTTCGAGTCGATTCGACTTGATGTGTGAAAAATTTGGATCGCTTTAAACGCGATTCGACTTCAAGCTTGAAACTCTTGATAAGTCTTGAATCTTGAATCTTTTCGTGAAGGAAGTAGTACGTAGCAGTAGTATTGTTGTGTGTAGCTTTGTATGGATACGAGAAACATTTCATGTTCATTGTAATTTAGTAGAAGAAATTGATTTCATACTTAAAGAATAAAGTAACCATTTGCAAGTATATTTACATGAATAAGAATTTTCCAATCTGATTAAAAAGCTTATATACTAATACTTAATACACTAATCTCTATTGCGACTGTTAAGACTTTCAAGAAGTCCAAGGTGATCGAGATTTTCAAGACTCTCAAATCATCCAAGACAATCAAACAAAAAATAGACAAAACACGCCACAAAACGAAAAATCATTAAAAATTGATAATTCTCGATTTTACTCTTTATTCTAAATGTTAAGTTCCACTAATCACAAGTTTCTTTCTTTCTTGAAAATAACAAATCCAGAATATATTCATTTTATTCTGATTTGAAGCGATTCGAAGTGTCTCAGATCTCATCACTAGCGTTTGTTCTCCAACCTCCATTCCATCACTGTTCCAACTTCTTTCCCGCGCTCTTTCTCATGGTAATGTTCGTTTCTTTTTGTCTATTGCACGTTACGTTTCTCACGGCGAAAAAAAAAAAAAAAAAAGAAAAATTCGTGTCAAAGGGCAGACATAAACCATGGCTGCGAACGAAGCTGAACTCATAAAATCTCAGACCCACCTGCTTCGCGTTCGTTTCGCTCCCTTCTTTTCAACGTACATTTTTATGATCGCTCTTCCATCTCCAGCCTAGCCGCAAAAGGGACCTTGGTTGCCTGTCCTCTTCCAAAATTCTTTACAACATTCGTTCGTTCGATCGCGCTCGTTTAACTTGGCGATTAACGGCTCGCCGACACCGGAACGAGCTGTTCCGTTTTACGGACAAACTTGCAACTCACCGTTCATAAATAAACCAACGGAGATACGCTGTTTACGTGTATTTGTCGAGCATGAAATGACGATCGACCACTCTATTTCTGAAAGATCGTTGGTATTAAGAGATTCCATCGGCCGATGCCAACCGAGACCGGCACACGTCCCTTTGGTTTATTTACGTTACGCGATCTACCTCAATCCTTGTGACTTGCGGAAATCCGCCGTGATTTTAACCAACCTTCTCGCTCCGAGACGCTTACACAATTTTGTAAAAAAAAAAAAAAAAAATCTTTAGAAGAAAGTTACATCATTTCTTCAGGCACGTGTAACGATAGGACAAATTTTTTTCTCTCTGAAAGTAAGAGATCATTTCTTTTTTAAATGAAATAATTTTCGATGCATTTTCTTCTGGCAGTATTAGAGTAAGCTAACACTTCAGGAACAAAGTTTCTACACTGTGTTAACTTCTTTATCGAATTTTTATCAAAAATGTTGCTAAATAATATTAAAATTTTATATAACACTAATTGCTGCAAAAAGTTATTATTGTACTAATATAGTTTAAATTTTCAAAAATTATTATTCGAATATTATCCAAAAGTATCGTCCCTGAAGAGTATTAAGAGATATTATCTAGTTCAAACTTTAAAGAATATTAAGTTTAATTTCGTAAAATATTCTTCTGTTTGTCTATTTCTTGTTTTGTTTTTATACATTGATGAAATTATAATTGAAATGTCTTTTTTCAGAGTGCTCCATGTCCATAACGATTTTATCACATGCAAGTCAAAGAAGAAGAAGAACGATTTATCTCGAAGAACGACAGCAGTATTTCGATTGTACAATGGAGGAGGGTAGTGCAGAAGTAGTGTCCGGTACAGAGGAATCCTATTTCAGAGACTTGGCTTGAGATATTTCGAGATGCGATGTCAGAACAATGGAATCTACGAATATTAACTCTTAACTAGCATTTTGCTAACTACCATTGTAGAATTAAATTGTTCAATTTAATTTCGTTAATTAATTCTTGTAACTTCAGCCGTGGAGGATTCGTAATGAAAAGTAAAATTAAATGCCTAAAGTTTTTATAATGTAACACAAATCGCTGTAATTATCTATGGATCTAATCCGATATTACTCAAGGATTAATACTCGATAAAGACGAGTGATTTCTCGACAGGTTTATATTTTTGAAATTGTAAAATATTTATATAATTGCCATTTTCTTTCATCAAGTGTAATAGATATTTCGTTGCATATGAAATATCGTTTCTTTGAAGCTTCAATCTATCAGTCATCAATCTATTATCAACTAGATTAAAGAAAAAGAAATTTACTATAAATTACGCGTGTTTATTATTAAAAAGATTTACGATAATAATATTAAAACTTTATTGTTAATGATCACGACATTCGTATGCTTTTCTTACATGTATTTATATTTACAAGCGTTTTGAAAATTGTTGGAAGCATAGTTGAACATGGGACCAACGATCATCAATTACTAATGAATGAATAAATAAATAAATATCTGAACAGAATTACTTCCTTATTGATACCATTTGTCATCCATTGTGCAAATATAACCACCTATAGTGATCATCAGAAATCGCAATGACAAAGAATCTTCATTCGTCTGCCCTGGATTTGAACCTCGAGTTCTTTCCTCCTCGATCGATTGACAAGAACTAAACAAAATAAATCCGAGAGGAACGCGTTTATCCGGTGCAATAAACTCGCGCTAAATCGACTGCCGCCTGTTTGTCTCTGCCCTCTGACCTCCTTCTTTTCACGGGGATGGAACGCAAAGTGCATCCCCGTAAATTCAGTCCGCCGGGTTACGACAAATACTACGGGATTAGGATGCAACCACTTGCTGCAGGCCCGTTGTTCGGAACGAGCGAAACAGAATGGAAACGGGAACGGGCGAGCGAGCGTTACCTGTAAAGAGGTATCCCAGCGGTGTCTTTGAACCAAAGCACCATGTTCACAGAGTCGGTGGGCGTCGGTGGAGTGATGTCGCATGGTAATTCGGCGTCTTTGCCCTCGATGGCCCACACCAACCGGAGCGGTGCCGTGAGAGCGTGAGTCGACCCTTAAAAAGAAAAAAGAAAAAAAAAAATACAAATAGAAGAAAAGGCTTGGAAAAGAGAATATAAGCATCGTTATGAAGACGTTAGCTTCCGAGGGGACGAGGCGAGCCCCCTCGGATTCGCAGATTCACGGGGTAACGAGAGGAGGCCGGGAGAGCCAGCACCATCCCTTTTCGTCGCTCGTGCTGGCCGCGCTCGTTCGTTAAGGGTGACGAGAAGCGACGAAGAAAGTGGCGCTAATGAAGCGATTCCCCGGCACCCGAACTGTCGTCGCGCACGCTTCGTCGCGTACCGGTGCAACCGCACCATAGACTCGTCTTTGCTCGAGCACAATCTCCTACCGATACAGACTGCGGTTTTGGAACGTATCAAACGTACCACACGCGTATATATACAGCGCACGTAGCAACACGCCAAGCGTGTATTGAGGAATTAAAGATCCGTGTTCGTGGATTCACAAATTTTTTTCGACCAGTGTACTCCATGGATTAAAATGAACAAAAAAAAAAATATTGTAGAATCGAAATATTTGCTAGTTGCTACTTCATATTGTAAGGTGAGGTTCTAAACAAGGTCAAACTTCGTTCCTGGTTGAAGTGAGATATTTCATGTGACATGATATATTTAAGTGACATGTGAAATAGATATAATGAAAATGCTTATCTGTGACGTTCGTAGACGAGTAATAAAAAATTACACGAACTGAGATTCAAATGGAAGGTCTTAGTTGGAACAGTTATCACGTCAATTCAATATTCAAAATTGAAGGAAAATTATGGACGTTTAGCCATTTTCAGTTCATTTGATAATTTATAAATTGACGAAGAAAGTGCATATTGCGTAATTGACATAGATACAATTTCACATTAATATACAGTACACGATGTACAAATATTAACATATTAAATATCATCAGGAAAGAATATAAAATTCGTAGTCCACGTCAGACGTCAGAATTTCACTAAAACTCTGAGAGAGCGGCAAAACTTTTCGAGCAAGAATGTACTCGTGAAACGGGGAGCCTCTGGCTTACGACGACAGGCTACGATCGTTTTCGGCTCGCTATTGTGCTCATTACACGCCTCGAACTCGCCGCTTTTCGCCTATTCTAGGAAACGAAGCGCCGCGTATGCACGCAGGCGTACGCATTCGCGAGAACGTTCCGATTAAAATAGGATTTCACTGCGGAGCGCGGATGAGATATTCGCCGGTAAATCCTATAAGCCGATGCCGTAGTTAAGGGCAATTCCGTAAGTACGCCCATCATACCGATGGCTGTTCGTCCCACTTTCTTAATCTCGCAATTATCCGCCGAGAACGCGACGAGGTTTCGATAGTCGACGATGGAGAATCAGAGGCGGAGGGCGAGCTCTCAGGCATTTATAATTAGGCTGCGGATTTTTATATGCTTTCATGACCGTCCATCTAAGGCCTAAATTCATTCCGTCAATATTAAATTTCAAATTATTATAATGTGTAATAAGATAAATATAAAAATCAGATGTAACATCAACGAAATGTCAAATGTCAAACTGATAATTCAAAATTAATATGACGAATCGATGAAAATTATATGTAATTAATGAAATTAATAATATTGTTGTTCCAATTGAAAATACCATGAATTCCGTGAAATCCTGTTGACAGAAAGAGAATTGATCCGTAAGTTCTATCGTTTATACAAAAACATGCATTCTCTTTATATTCAATTATTTGAATAATAGAAAAATATAATTCTAAAATAATTGTATGTAATAACACTGGAACTAGCAAGGTAGTGAAAATGAGCAATTTACAATTTGTAGACGTAAAACAGCGTATTTCCAAAGATTTAGGTAACTTTTTGTAGAATATATAAATAAAAGTTTGTATACTCTGATGGAAATTTTATCCTTCAATCGTCTGTAGTTCTGATGTTAAATATGTATTATAATGCGATAGAATTTTCCGTATTCGGACTCCCACTACTCGCGTATACTTTTTATTATTGAAACAATGTTATACAAGGAATATTTAGAGCAGTGTGCGGAGAATTCAAAAATGTCGAGAACTTTTTTTCAGGATCGGGATCAGATGAAAGTTTCAAGTACTTTCGACTGAGGCAGTTTGAGAATTGGCTCAGGATTTGTCATATCTCTTATTATAATGTAATTTCATTATTTTGTACTGCCGGATTCCGAAATGCCTCGAAAGTAAAATATGCGAAACCGTGGTCATATTCGACAAAGCTGACCCTCTCCACCCTTGAAACATGCCTTGTGTTCTTGAAATTCTTGAAACTGCCGGATATTTTCGAATTTCGAGTTTCGTATTTTTGGGAACCGTTTCAATTACCAGATGCTCGATATTTTTGCATTTTTGCACATTCCTGAACATTTACTAGCAACAGATGTTCTTTCTCCTACCAAAGTATTTTGTATGTATCATTTCACGTTTTAGGCATTTCTCACAGTTGAAAATAACTTGTTGAAATATGAGATACAAGACTTTAGAAAAAAAGAGAAAAATCAATGATGATGTAACAAATTAGCGTTTGATTGGTGAACAATGAAAACATCACAGATATCTTTCCACAAACTGAAATAGTAAACGAAAATGTAAGGATGATGACTCAAAGTATTTCGATGATTCGAAGTACGAAAGGAATGTATCTATTCGAAAGATTAAGTAATGTAATACTAATAAAAATATAGCATTCTTAAATATTTTATTAATTAAAATAAATTGATAATTTGGATAGATACAATTTAACGCCAGAAAATTCCATTAACCGAACTTGTTTGTCTCTCTATTATCAAAGACTCTGTTCTTGGTAAAAAGTCTTTCGATGAGAGCGTTCAAAAATATTAAAAAACATGGAAATCTTTTGTGTATGCGAATTGAATTGAAATTGCTAATCTCATTTTTCCATGTATTTTATATAAATGCGATAATATTTTATATTACAAAGGTTTCAATGTTTTCGAATGCTGTCAAATACTTGCGTTTGATCGAATATCCTTCCATACTTTATGTATCTTTGCAATTTCAAATATCTCATAAATACATAAAAATTCATCTTTCTGTGTAAGAAACTTTGCCAAAATCAATTTGAGCCTACAATTATTCACAAAGTTGTAAAAACACCAAGTGGTTCATGCAATTGTAAAAAATTCGTTCTCTTCTTTTTATTAAAAATAAAAAAAAGATATTACGTATTATGAAGTACATATTTACAATCATACATTTTAATTGCACTATATTATATTTAAATGAAAACAATCTTTCTCTTTAAAGATTCACTGAATCTTCTCATCATTCTACGTAAAAAGGATAATATGATCGGAAATTGACGAATCTTAATTTTAATTTCAATTTTTAAGATCGTTTTACTCGAATGTAGTACGTAATATATTTCCTTTTCTTTCACGAAATAACTTTTACAAAATTAAAATTAAAATATCAAACTAATTATTTTTAGAATTAAAATATCAAAGTATTTAGTTTTCAATCACGTCACACTTTAATACTTTTCTACGTCGAATGAGGACACTCGATGAGTGCAAATAGAAAAATATTTTCATGTAAAAAAAATGATGCAACTGCAAAATATGTGCATATAATCCATTTTGAGCCATTTCATCTTGTTCCTCTTTAATATTTTATTCCAACTTATTACAACTTATTACACTCACGCGAACCATCCCATATATAAACCCTTCCAATTAAAAGTGTTAATTGATAAAATAACATTTGGTGTGAACAGCAATGAATTTAATCCTAGTATATTTTCCTTATTAAGTGTTCAGTCCCATGAGACGACCGAGCATCTTCTTTCTCTAATATCTTCTTTCAACTTCGAAATGAAAAAAAGAATAACATGTCACATTGCTCTCAATCGTGCGAATTGCTCCATATAAATCTTTTCAATTAAACCTAATTAATAAAACAGCATTTCATATGAACAGCAATGAATCTATTGTTTCTAGTAAATTTTTTTTATTGAGTATTCAGTCTTATGAAACAGCCGAATTTCTTCTTTTTCTAATATCTTTCTCCAATTTCGATTAAAAAAAAAAAAAATGTAACTTGTCACATCCGTGCAAGTTCAATCGATAGTGTTAAAGTATTTTGCGTCTAATTGGTCAAGAAAGGACATCTCTCGTGCGAACAGCAATGAATCAACCATTCTCGAGTCAATTTCCATTTTCTTTATCGAGCGCTCGGTGTCGTCCGATCGCTCGCGATCTAGAGATAGCGAGTGCCAAGAGAGAACGTCCGAGTTATCAATGGCATACCGCGGTGTACATTAACACCGGTTCTCACGCACGTGCGCGCTCGCGTTATATATCGCGTCTATTTTCTCCGTGGGTGGAGACTTCGTAACGTCGCAACGACTCTAAGTTTAAATCGAGACCGCTGCGAGCAGAAAATTACGGATGATGATGCACCGCTCCGATATCCGGCGATATTCGACGTGTGAGCGCGCTTGGTTGTCGTGCCACGATAGAAAATTCCGCTGACGTTCCCGAGGAAAGATCGAAAGAGATCGGGACAGGGACGAAAACTCGCTCTCGCGTTCGTGCTCTCGATTTTCCATTCTGTACAGCTTTTTCCTGTTCGCGTTCGCCGCGGCGTTGAAAGGCGAACGACCGAATCTAGTTTGTCTTCACGACAGAGCGTTTCGTCGCCAGCCCAGAGCTCGAATCTGTTCGCTAACCGGTGCCACGCCACGCTGTATTGCGTAATTTCGCGCGTTGTTTCGATCGATCGAACCTATCCTCGCGTGCTCTCGTACGATCGATTCTCGATTTTTGGATATCTCCGTGGATCGGAGAGGAATGAATGGAGTTACGAGTGTAAATAGCTTTCACGAAGCTAGTACGAAGAGCATGATTTAGATTACTAACTGTAGGTTTAGTACCGATCTTTTTAGACATTTCAGCGGATGTTTATGCAGAAACGTACAATGGGGCGTGCTATAAGGAACCATCTGATGACGAACGAATAGCTATGTCACAACGAACGATCGAGTTTTTCCTTACAAATTTTCATAAATTTATAATGTAATCAAATACAATATATTAAATGTGTAATCGACGAATATTTGTTGTTGCAAGCAAGTAGAAAGTATTCACAACTGTGAAAAATTGTTTAAATTAACTGTATTTAATGTTGATTGCCACGAAGGTGATTAACTGTTTATGACTCAAGCATTAATTTATCGTAATATCATAGATGAACTATAGAATCTAACACAGTAGGAAAAATATTAAACGAATTCCTGGAATTTCCCTTCATGATCGCGATGATCAGAAAGTAGAACTTGATAATGTAAATTGATCGAAAAGAATTGCAATAGTGCAATATTAATTCTTTTCTCTCACATTTCGCGAGAATTTAAAGGAAACTGGTGTTTAGTTATTAGTTTTATATTCGCGTTGAGGATCGAAAGTCAAAATTACGCACAGTGATCTGAAATCAATATTTGATAGTCCAGAATAAATAAAAGTGACCTTTTTAAAAATTAAAAAAATGTATCATTAGGAATGTTTTCCTTTTTTAGGTATTTGTTGAAAGTAATGAAGTAGAACATAAAAGAAACTAGATTAGAGTAGGATCATTGCATTGTTATGACTGATAAAATTACGAAAGGTGATTTACTGTTTGATTAACATGTTAAAAAATAATTTAGTTTATACTTTTGAGCTACTGTGCCACGTAACGATATATTTGCAGTACACCTTTATTAAACGTGTACTGCAAATTAATAAAATATTCGGTAATCTTTCAACGCATTGACATCTTCATAACAATATGATGAAAATAAACAATAAATCATTGCTATAATTGACTGATGCGTACTAAAAAAATATTCATTGTCAGAATACTACATATATTTCTCACTGATCTCGAATAGATCTTTCGAGGCTATGACCGTTTTGTAATCACGATTTTTCAAACGCCAACCCAACACACCCCCATAATTTCGCCGAAGAGGTTACACGCCCGCTTTTCTAAACAATCGGTCTTCCCCCGTTCGTATACCATTGCATCTCGAAATAGAATTCCGATGTCCGACGGAAATTGGTAAAGATTCCAAGAAAGAAGAAAAAAGAATCCGTATGTCGGACTGTATCGTTATGTAAATAATGCTCGGCCGAAGGAAATAACCTTGTTATTTTTGTATCACGCTCGTTAGGAAACCGCGCTTCCGCCGCGCCATCGTCTATTTTCGTGTTGCTCCCTCTAATTTCTTTCATTCGCTGTTTCCTCCCTTATGCCCGAATCGGGCATTCATCTTTCGCGGGTATCGGATCCGCGAGTATCACGAAGCGGCCGGGGCGGTAATTTACGAGCGACGAATCCGACGAAAGCGGGTACAGTAACCCGAAGTTATGACTAAACGAGGTTGGCGCGAGGCTCCACGGTGTCGCGGAACCTCGCGTTCAATGTGGAATTAATTCACGAGTTTTTATCGGCGTCCATAGCGAGGTGTTCGAGTCTCGATTTCGAAATGATTTCGACGTGAAATTCGCGATCGTGGAATCGCCATCGATAGAAGAAGGTTCAAGAAGAAATCACGTCCATCAACTGTGAATATTTTTATCTCGTGTATTTCACATCAATTGTAAATTTAATTATATGTGTTTTTCTTTTTATCTTTGCTTGTGTAATTTAAAATAATTAATAATATTAAATTATCCAACAGCTTCCGAGATTTCCGAGAATTTTCGAGTATCGAAATCTTATTCGAAACGATCCGAATTTATATATGTACAATGTGAATGTATAGAAGAAGAGCTAAAATTCATTGAACAATATAATCTTACTTATTTGACACATTCTTTTATCGCTTGTTAACATTAATCTCTTTTTAATATTAAAACTTTTCAAAGCACTGACGTAATCAGTTGCATAATCTATGTATCATGCATAAATTATAAAATCAAATAACGTATGTGTATTTCCGACATATCGGTCTTTCCTCGATATTTTGTGTCAATGATACTGTTTGGATTAAACTATTCAGTGTTTCTAAAACATTGATCATTTACCAGACTTACGAACTCGTACAAATATTCAAAACTATCAAACTTTCTAAATTTAATATTTTAATACGTTAATAATATCGTTTAAATTAAAATATTGAATTAAAATTGCAAAATACTGGCCATTTACCAAGCTTCGAAAACTCACTCAAATATTCAAAAACTTTCAAGACTTTCGAAACTTCCAAGACTATCGAAGACCTTCGAGATTTTCAAGAGTTTACAGGTATCGAGTTGTACCTTAGTGATTCGAATTTTCCGTCGCGTGTACATGCATATCCCATGCGATTCGATAACGTTTGATAACATATCACCAGGCGTTTTATCTACGTCTCATCTAAGAGACCAAGGATGGCTGCTGGTTGCAGTCTCGTTGCACGATACCATGCAATTTCCTGCCTTTTGTCTCGTTTGTAAAACGTATTCGAGTCTTGTCCTACCGCAGTATCTCGCGTCCCCTACGTAGATCGATGACATTCCATCGCTGGCAGCGCGTTTCCGTTCCGGCTTATTGTTAGCTAGGCGTCTTCGCGGCTGGTCCCTAGGCTCGATCGATATCCTCGATCGTTCCGAGCGCGCGAAAAACGTCGTACGCCGCGCGTTTTATTACGTTCGCGCGCGTTTATCTCTTTCCAATCTAGCCACGCTTCAGTCAATTTCGTTCTCGCATAATTCCACGTCCCTCTCGCCAACACCTGTTGCTAGCCTGCCCAGAAGAAGTTCCGGTCGCCCGATAAAATTCCAACTGTCACCACGTACGCTCCGGTTCGATCCGACGCGATGGTTATTTCGGTGCTTCGGGAAAGACACTGCCGGTACGTACGTACGTATTCGCCGGAGATCTTGCTGGTGCACTTACTCGAATATACCGGCATGCACGCAGAATACTTATTACGATCAAAGCACCGAAGAATTTACGTTTCTGTTATTTACAACCAGAGAGTTTTAATATGCGACACACACATATATTTTAATATTCAATATATATAAGAAGAACGATTAATTCATTGAGACTACTATATTGTACAAGGTGTCCCATTTACCTATACTATACTACACTATACTAATTATATAGTATTAATATTATAAATGCATTTTAATCTGTAATGCAATTGTAATGATGGCGCTATTCGTCATTTAAAAAATGTCTCAAATGCATTTTTCTGTTTTGAGACATTTTTATTGAGTAGTAATTTGGTACTACTTTGTCTCTAGATAAAGATGAAGTGTAATAGACATGAAGGTCGTTATTACTTTTTCAGGTATAATTATGTAATTTTGTTACTTGCTGCGTCGATCGAGAAAAGCTATTAGTCATTTCATTGATTAGTAACCAAATAATTTTGAATTTATTTATATAAATAATTTCTGCTCCTATCATCTAAACTGTAATTTTTATTTCCAATAGAAAATATTTATAAGAAATATTTCGAGGGCGTACACACGTTGAAATCGATCGAATATACCCAGAGAATATATACTTCTCAATTGAGTATCTAAATCTGAGTTCTCGCGATCGGAAACCTGTGGATCCAAGCAACAGTGAGAATCCCAGCATTCGCAGCTTATCGAAAGTCAAAGTTTCGCCATGCACGTATGAGCCCGACCCGATTACACCTACGAAATTACGTGAAGGAGAAAAAAATATTCTCGCGAGTCCTTCCTCTCAGAGACGCTGCGGGACTGGAATCGATTACGTGCGTGAAATACGAACGACGCAAGGGAGATGGAAAGGTTTCCATCTACAGGTTACAACTTTTAAAAAGTGAGGTTCGGCACAGAGGATCTGGTTTACGTTGGAGACGTCCACGTTGGAGGTCTTCTCTCGGATGAAGAAATCAAGATATTTTCATTGGCGGACCCGTAATTATTTAAACCGACTCCTCCCAGCATCCGTCGGGTCAATTTCTACCTGCAGGTATATGTATATATATAAATCTGCGCGAAAGATTAAACTCGTAAACCAGGTTTCCTAGTTTGTCCTCGCGGTTGGTGGTCGAAGATCTGTGACTTCGTGTCGGCAATGTTTTGTCGACTTCTTTCAGAGATTGTCGCTGCTAATGGGTATTTGAAAATCTTGATTCTAGTTCGAAAGTTCGAGTTATTCCAACAGGATTCGAATTTTTACAGTGTTGGAAGCCTCGAGGGTTTTAGATATTTTGTAAATCTTGTTAGAAAGATTAAAGCTTTTCAAGAAGCATTTATACAATTAATTACGATCGAACAGCAAATAATGTGAAGTGATTCGAAATCTCGAACTTTCTGCATTTTCTCAAATATTCTGACGGTGAGTACTCGAATCTAAGTTTTGAAATGATTCTAATGTAAAAATTCGAATTACTTCGAATAGGATAGGATGTCAGAGTTTTTAAAGTCCCGGAAGTCTCCAAGATTTTAAATATTTTGGAGTCTTGCTGGAAAGATGAAAACTCTTCAAGGCAATTAATTACGATCAAACAACGAATAGCGTAAAATTACTTTCGTTATCTCGAACTTCCTGCATTTTCTCTCGAATATTAATGACACTGCTTGTGATTGAAGCTCACAAAATTGACAATCTTGGAAGTTTTGAGGATCTTGGTTATTGCATATAGTTTTATACGAAATAACATATTTAATAAGTTTTGAAAACTCGGCCCGCATTCACTTAGTATTGATACAAAATATTAAAGCGAACTCCGGAAAGTTCGAGATATCGAAAACGCTTTTACGTTATTCGTCTTTGTAGTTTACCTATTATGCAGTTAAGTATACAAATACTGTGAAAAGTTTCAATCTTCTCAACAAGTCTTATCAAAATGGACGAAATAGCTTTATACAGCTTAGTCAGGTCAGTAACTTTGGAATAGCAACTTTTATTTTTCGAAACATTATTCAATTTATTGTTAACAAATCTTTGAAAAGATTTGGGAATTTCAAAACTTTTTTATTGTTCGTTGGTACAATGCTACATACGTAACATTTTATAAAAGAATACAACACAAATTTCTTCACAGAGATGACTTTTAAAACGTCATATATTGATTTAACTATTCTCTTATTTATATTGGATGATCTATGTACTTTTGAGAATTGAATACTCTATTTCTTTTAAAATAAATAAATTTCTAGTTATCTAACTATTCAAATATTTATTAGAAGGAGATCGACATTTTACCATTATTCTTGAATTTATTAATAATGTTAACTTTTTCTTTGGGTACATAATTGTAGTCAGAATTAAGTTTTTTGAATGATCTTTCAATTCAGATGCACGTATTTTTTCATTACTTTTGTACATTAGAGGATAAAACAAAATTTACACCGTTAAATATTGTATTATTCATTTTCTTAACAAAATATATCTTACATTTCATTCATCGCTCTCGTCGAATATAAATTTGCTTTCTAAAAACATGGTATATTTCCTTACTCTTTCCTTCAACTCCCCTCTATATTTTATTGAAGTTTATTCGTTAATTATTATTGTTATCATTAAAATATCTAAGATCTCCAAGATAAAATTCGAGACTTTTGAAGAGGATTTAAGAATATCCAAGATCGTCAAGATTTTCAAGAATACGGCAATCTCAGACGTCAGACATCGGGAATAATTCGAATATATATTTCATCGTGCGTCGAATATTTCACGTTTGAAGCGATCCGAAATACTTCATAACCCATCGTTAGCTGCTTTAGATAGAAAATTTGATCACTTTGCATGGTAATCTCGCGGCAGAGGCCGTGAAGACAGCTCGTCCATTTTATTATTCAAACTCGGTGCCGGCGTGTTAAAGGCTCTTCACATCGTCGCGAAAATTTCTACGTACAAACCGATTGCGTTCTGCTTCGTTAAATTCTTTGAGCCCGAGCTTCTACTTCTTCGGAGCGCGCCGGCGTGAATCGTGCCACGAATTTGCAGCTTATTTATGCGGCGGTTAGTTAGACGCGTGGCGTTGAAACTTGTCCCGGCAATAGGTAGAAGGAAAAGCAAAGACCCGCGAAAAGTGGAGCCGGAGTGCTTCGACGAGCTTCCGTTTCGCGGAAAGTGTTGCTCTCGCGGCGGCTCGTTCCGGCTGACGTTTAACGCAAAGCAAACATGTAAAGATCGCCCGCGATACCTACAGGAGCGATGATGGATCGCCGTGGAAACAGCTCTTTTATTTATGTGTTTTCAAATAATATTAGCGACCGACAAATACTCATAAAATGCGAACGACGATCAAAGACGTAGATATTCGAAAATATTCGATACCTTTTTTCTATTTTTTTTATTCTATTTTCGAATTTTAAATATTTCGCACGAAACATTTGCAGACATTTCGCGAATCTTAATTAATTCGTGAAATTATAAAATACTGACGATATTTATTTATACGTTCATTGAAAAGAGCATAAATAGATAAACTGAAAACGAAAATCTATAGGTACGTATTACATGTATTGTGTACATATATATATAATAATACATTATTGTAATTATAATCAGAGTATGTTTTATTCTATGTGTATACACATACAGTAAATTTCGTATACTTTAATGTATTCACGGTCTTCACATAATAAATTTTGGACGTTTCATCGCACTTTACTTATGTAATTCAATAAATATATAAATATAATATAACATCGTCATTTTTCCAACATTAATTGAAGTTACTAAGATACTCAATAAAATTGACGACATTTATTAGATATTTTAAGTTCATTCGAGTATCAATACTTTGGTGAGGTGTCGATATTTTTAATACGACTTAGGTAATATTCGACAGAATGTCATAATCCGTGGACTGATATCCATAGTATTGACTCGACATTGGTCTGATCATTGCAAACAAGCATTGATTGAGTACGGCGTTGATTTGGTATTAATTCAGGAAAAATCGGCATGAATAATTAATACCAAGTAACTGAAATTTCAGTACATATATACCGCTTTCCATTTACTGTGTTTTCGTATCGAACCGATTGAATATCGTCAACAGTACAGCTCTGGCGAAAAGTTTCCAATGAAACGCACGCATTCGAGGATATTAAAAAGCATCGGCACATATTCGAAATATACAAAATACCACTGTATAATAAAATGAAACTGCGATTTTAATTAAATTTCAATTAAAAGAGTTCAATGTTCCTAAATACTTCTGAATATTTGCGCTCGATCGAGAACTTTCTGGCAGCGGCAGTGTCAATGTCGGAGACGATCTGCGCAAATATTTTCGTTCGAACGGAAAAATCATCGACGAATCTATTGTTCACGTATGTGTGCAATATATGGTATGTGCGCATAGTAACGAAACGGAATTCGAAACACGTCGATAAATACTGAATTCCTTCCAGAACTTTGAGTCCCCTCGAATCCTCCGAGTTAAAAGCTATAAACGACGCTCGAGGAGCACGCGATGCATTCCTTCTCGCGCGTGCATCACTTCAAAAATCGCTCCATGCTCGCGTGGACGGCTTTTCGCTCTTTTCATAAATTTCGGAAATTAGCTGGCGGCGCCCCCGTGGTAGCTGTCCGTGACCGATGAAACGACGGATCAAAATGAGCCGGCGGCGCCTTTTTACGGCGCCAAAAATAAATCGCGCAAATTCTTTTGCTCCGGAGTAGCAGGAGTTCTGGTTTATCCACCGACCGAAATATCTACCGGTAGAAGTTCACCGGGCTACTTATTTTTTTTTTTTTTTTTCTATCAAAACATTTTTTTCTTTTCGTTTTCTAATCTCTGTTGTCAATTTCTTTCATTATCAGCGTAAGTTTTCTTCTGCGAATTTATCCTGTTCGCCTTTACCTTTTTAAATGTCATTCTTTCTTTGCAACTGTTTATTACTGTTGTGAACTGTACACAAAACGTCGTGAAATTATATTGAACGTTAAGATGAAAATATTTAATCATCGGATGGAGGAATACTTCGATGTATAAAATGTAATATGAAATATTGTATTTATTAAAAAATATTATACTTTTATGCTAAAATTTCTTCCTACATTTTTTTCCAAGCAGAAATATTGCAATTACAATTGATGTTTAAAAATGATTGATTGAAATTTCAGTAGCATGAGATAAAGTAACGTTACGAGTAAAAAAATCTTACTTTTGGAGCAGAAATTTTCATGGTACAGAACATTTATGACACACTTTACACTATATTGATTTCTATTGCACAATTTGTCATGTGTTCAATACATCATTCATCGCATCTTATTTCCATTTCAAAACAGGAAACATGAGTTTACGCAGTAAATAACCTATGAGATGTTAATGTATCAACAATTATATTGCAAAACATGCACGCAATTCAGTATCGAAAGTACTGATTATTTGCTACTGATTATTTTCAGCTATGAAAAAGAAATACTTTTCACGCTCGAACGACCGAGGACCAATAGGACAGCTGCCAAGGGTAGAAAAAGAAGAAACAAGGCATCGTTAAAAGGTGCTCCCTCCACTTTGAAGGGACTACTCGATCGGCAGTCGATCGGATGCCAAAAACTTGGAGGTTATCGCGCGAGCTTATCCGAATCCCTTCAGTCGCTCTCAATAGGCTCGGCTAAATCGAAGTTTTAACTTATTTGAAATTGGGCCGAGGTCGGAGCGCTCGTTCGGTTCGAAATAAGACTGGAACCGCTTGACGGTACGTTGCTTTTCTTTCAACAGAATTAGCATTACAGCACTCGAGCGAACGTCCTTATTTCCGTGATGCAGTAAGATCCACCATTTCACTTATCCATGACTCACGGAAGGATTCGAGAATGATTTAGTCTCGCGAATTTACTTATCACAGGAAGATAGTACGAGTAGTCGTAAATTTTCGAAAATAGCTGTAACTTTTTTTCTAAATTTCTAAATTTGTCGACTTTACGCATGACGATCAGAAATTCAACATTTTCCATTAAAAATAATTTGTACGGTTTTCTTGCTAAAAGTCCTTCAGTCAACGGAAGAGTTTAGTTGTAATATTGCGATAATTGTTTTCTAATGATCATATGATGATTAAACTACCTCGTTCATCGATGGTTTTAAGAATGAAAGGATATTTGCCTGATGCAAGTTGTTTTTAACGAGAGGTAGCTTACACTGATTAGTTTCTAAATTCTTTGTACATTCCATGTGACATTCTCGATTGACCTAAGACTGTGTAGTAAGAGCTTGTAATCTCGAGCATCTTGGTTTATATTGTCATTGGAAAAAAAAAATATTTTGAACCATTTATTTCTTTCTTTAATATCATTTTCTTATTTAAACTAGACTTGTTACACTTGCGTGAATTAGTCTGTATACATAATCCGCTTGAAGGATTAAAACGATATTCATGCAACAACAATGCTTTCAATCATTATAATGTCCATAATAATAAATTAATTTTGTGTAATAAGCTAATTCATAATTAACTAACAAAGTGATATTACAATAAAAGAAAAAATATATATATGTATGTATTTGTGGCCTATTTCGATAGTCTAATCAATCTCTCACGAATATTATTCGATCCTATATTACATATTTGCAGAAACATCATGGCGAAACACTAATTCGCTCGTTTGTCGGTGCTATTAACTTGCAAGCTTCGGCGTAGCAAGCGATAAATGTAAATGGAAATCGAGAACAGTCCTCTGGTGCCCGAAGATAGAGCACTTAGGGACACGACCTGTTTGTGATATGAAAGTCAACGTACCCTTGTTCGAAAATTCGGGCGAATCCTCGGTAGTTGCGTCCGCTCGACGCGCACGGAGCAGTATCAGCAAACTTGTCAGAAACACGTGTCCGGACGTGAGCCGCATCTCGAACTGGCAACCGAGAATCAGGTGTTCGAGTTGACGCGCCACCCACCAGCCACGTCCGATCCACACCTTCCGAGTCATTCGATCGTGCGCGATCCAGGTGTGTCCACGCGTCACTGGATCGAGTAAATCGATTTATCGAACGATTAGACGGCGTCGCTGTTCTCGCCTCGTTCGGTTCCAACGGCGCTCGATCGCCACGATGATCGATCTTTCGACGCACGATCGTTTGCCATATCAAAGGAGCGAGCAACAAGAGCTTTAACAAACAACTCACGAGAATTACAAAAATTCGAAAATATTCTCGTCGAATCGACAATCACGTTCCACGATGAGATCGTTTCTCTCGAAGAGGGGATGACTTTGAATCGATCTTCCGGCAGGAAGATGAAAGAACGAAGATCCTTTTCCAAGGGCTTTCTTTTCCAATTGTCGTCCCTTCTGTCTCAGGTCGATCTGCCTTTCTTCTGTCGTTCGACACGTGCTCGTTATTAGTCGGGACACGTCGCGAGCCGCGCCGAAATCCTTTGATTAACAAAACGACCCGACGTTTTTTTCGCGACGAGACTCGGAAGCGTCTCTTTGTCCCTTCTTTCGCCGCCCCTCTTTCGTTCCACGCGTTCCCGCGTCCTTTGAATTCCTTCGAATTCCACCAGTCGTCTGCTTTGTCTAAATCTTTCTCGCGAATTCTCGATCGTGTTGTTCGTCACGCGGCAACCGCGTTTCTCCCTCTCGCGATGCCGCGCGCGTTTCTCGCTCCGTTCTTCCGCAACGCCCCCGCAACGATCCCAACTTTGATCTCGAGGACTGCAACGCGGCTCGCGAGCTTTCTTTTTCTTTCTCGCTCGTTATTCCTGGGCGGTTACCTCGCTTCTCTTTTTTTTTTCCTACCGCGTCGCGCGCGGTTTTAAATTAGACCAGGCGATCAGGTGGCTCGATCGAACTTCTGTTCTTCTCGTTACATTTCTCTCTCTCTCTCTTTCTCTTTCTCTCTGCTCGTAAATTCTCGATACACAGAACTCGTCCCGATTATTATTCCCGTAGATCTCTAAAGCTCGCACACGATAACACTCGCTCGTTACGCTAACGATATCTCGCGAGGAATTTCACGGCGAATTTCTTTCTTTCGATATCGTTGCGTGCGTAACTACACGCGGATAACGCGCGTACAAATCTGCGAACACGCAAATCGGCAAAGAAACGAGGAACGAGAAAGACTGGCGGATCTTTTATATCGATGATAGAAAAGGAGGAGGCGTAGCACGCGCGTGTTTGGCCGTGGAATCGACAGAGGGAAACGTGGAGCAAGGCTCGACACAACCGTTTGAGATGGTCGTCGTCGGCAGCGACTGCCACGGAACTAAAACCAAAACCCCGACGACACGCGTGTAGTTGCCCCCACTCGTGCACACCCTCCTCGTACGGCACACGTCCATTTAACCAAGCCCCGAGGACACGCAGTTCAGCACGCACACGCGCTTGTTTAGCTCTTCTCGGCTCCACTCGCCGCTTTTGCCCGCGTCTTAACGCACGTGAACCCAACGCTGCACCCGAGATGCACCGTCGGGTGCATTCGTGCTAATGACGCGGGCAAAATCCACCTCGTTCGTTTGTGTTCCGCTGAAAATCCTGTTTCCTTTTAAATCCCGCGCCCCGTGCTTTCACGCTTCTTCGCGTTGCTGAGAATTATGTTGCCGACAATAGTCGAAGGAAATCTCGAATTGTAATTTAACGAGTGGTCGGAAATTTCATTTTCTTCGATAGATTGCCGTGTTTGAATATCGTTGCGAAATTACGGGTGATTATCTGGAGAAAGTGAATTCAACCGACGTTCAACTCTTACAATTGGTATCGTGGCGTGATACGAACTGAAATCATCGTGCACGCTTTTTTCTAACCAAAGTATGGCTGCCCTTTTTTCATCTCACAAAGCGAAATTCTCATTTTGCATGTCTACAATTCAAATATATTCTCGGTAGAAAAAAATTCTATTTCAACTTTGCGATACTTCTCTTTTTTTCTCATATCGTGTTGAACTGTACATTCACCACGTGGATATAACAACGTATATAACAATAGCACGTATGCAAAATTACGCATGTTAAATTAAGAATTTTTTTTAACATTATAATAGATTCTTTCATACATTGTAGTATTTTACATTTTTCATTCCCGTGGAAAGTTGTTATATTAGAAATTTTTTGTTTATTGTTACGATAAAAGATAAACAAGAATGCACCGTTCGAAATATTTCTGAGTAAAATGAAAAGAAAAAAAAATGATGAAACTGAAAGTCAAATATGGTGTAGAAATCATTTTAAACAATCCTTCCTCTCATACGCGTAACAGAACAAAATAAAACACGCGTAATGGATTTTTTTTCATTCACAGTTTACCAAAAAAATCGAGATTGAAAATTTATCAAGCATACTTATATATACTTGGCCAAGTATTGGAAAGCTTATTCCACTTGTGAAGAAATAGTTAGAAACGTAAAATCGAATTTTTTTCGTTAAATGCCTCGTTCCCGAGGAAAATAAAGTTCGAGGATTTATTCAGCGCATGTGTACTCTTAATTATGTGAACTCTTAATTAAGCATATTCAGAGTCCATTTATTTATTGAAAACGACAGAATAATGTCTCATCGATCATTCATTGCTGTCCAAATTGGAACGAGCTATCGAAATTTTAAATTTTAATTCTCAAAAATTAAGCATTGAAACTATTATTCTGCCCTGTGTAATTATTATTTAATTAGTCGTATAATTGTATAATTGTTATTCGTACCCTGTTTATCAGTTTGGATTAAGTCGGATTAATTTTACGGACTTTTCGAATGAACAGCCCGTGCCTAACTGCATATATTACCGCTGTCCACACACCACCTAGTGATAACCATGTGTCCAATATCCACTCACACATTTAATGGTAACAACACAATATCTCGAACTATTAAATACATATATATATAAAAAACGTATTTAAAAATAATTCGTCTGCCGTCCAAGTAATTACCAATTCTCGCTGGTTGCGCGTTTCGTTTTCAAGCAACAGAGTAATATTTATTGGACATTTACTATGTTTGGTGGAAAACATATTAAACAAACACACACGGTGCGCGGAACCGGCGAAGCAAAGTACGCGCGTAGGGCAGAAAGCTTGGAAACGCATGCGTTCCGCTTCGCCGCGTGTCTCTGCGCGATTCGTCTCTCTTTCTATCTCTCTCTGGTTGACTTGAACTGTACACACACACACACACACACACACACACACACGTGGAAGGGAACACCACCGAGTTCGGCACGGTGGAATAAACGCGGGGTGAGTTTCTGTCGTATCATCGTGCAGACGATTACGCGAACGCAAGGGGGAAGGGGGCAGGCCTGTATATGTTACAGCGTGTTCGTCGGGGGTGGAGTCGGCGACCGAGCCGAGGGTCAGGAATGCCCGCTGAAGGGACAAACTCATCGCCCGAATGGTTTGCCCGTTCGATTTGATGGATTGCTCGAACGATCTGGCTCGTCGCGGCGTGATTCGTTCGTTTCTAACAATTTTCTTTTTTTCTTTCTTTCTTTCTTTCTTTCTTTCTTTCCTATCTTTATTCCATTTCGTTTATTGATTCGAGGGAGATGTTAGACTGTTACGTATGCGACGGCCGAGTTCACGAGTCAATGTAAAGTTATTTGAAATTTTCTACATTTAAAAATTCTTATGGAGAAATATACGTTAAATATGTATGATCAACGAGACATCACAAACTCAACAAAGTCAGAAATACACTTTCAACGTGCTTTTACATTGCATTATATTTTATATTGCTTTTATAATACAACAGTTTATAAAAATTCAACATTCCGTCCCATGAGAAAAAGGTATAAAATTCGCGCGACAGTGTGTTGTTAATTATTTTGTTAATGATTATATATTGAAACGAACCGTGAATGAATACGACTTCTCGTAAAACTGAACTGATCCAGTTACAAGAGGCTATTGCACTTGAATTTTTATCGTCAATTTCTTCGCACTTTACAATTTTGATTTTGTCTATCTCACACTCCACATGTCGCTGTTTGTAATTTTACAATTATTTTTAACTTTTATATCATGTATTTGTACATTCTTCTTCTTTTTTTGTTGTTCGTTAAAATAAATTAAATTAAGTTGACCGAGGCATTATCAACTGAAGATAAAATAATTTCAACATTGTTTTACAACCGAATCGAATCTGGTCGAAATTTGATTAATGTTATTTTTAAGAAAATTATAATCCTTAAAATTGAACCAAAATGTCAACAATCAACTAAAGATTTTAATTATAATAATTTTACCACAGACAACTATAGTAATTGGGTTACTTAACTAAGTTAGATGACTCTAAATGATTATTCAAGATTAAAAGTTAAAAAGTTACAAACAAAACCCAAACCGATTGAGAGATCATGTCGGATTGATTGAAATTTTACTAATATCATTCCTCCAAGAAACGTTTTAACGGACGTTGAAACTTTCATTCAGAATTCGACTCATTTCATTTACAACGACCTAATGCATACGTACGTAGCTACTCGGGCCGCGGCATGAATCGGATAAGAAAATAAACGTCCGATGGAGAACCGGGTCTTCTTCTCTAGCCCCGAGGTTAAAGAAAGATCTCGAATTCAACGAGAAAGTCGGACGGTGTTTATAATTCACGGGGTCGATGCGTGGGTGGAAGCTTTGTGTCCACGTATATTTACGTTCGGCTTTCTTTTCATAACGAAAACGGACGAAAGAGGCGAATCGGTTACTGTAGCCGGCAAGAGAAGAGGCATTATACGCGGGGTGTTTCTAATGTCGCCTCACGCGGTCCGCGGCGAATCTATTTTCAGAACTCGCGTTTCCCTCGCGTTGGATACCAACTACCCTCTCTTTTTCACCGAGGCCGACCACACGCACCCACGTGCCTGTACGAATCGAGCGCCATGATTTTCTTGGCAAAAGTGGCCGAGAAAAATAGAAAAAAAATAAGAGATATCTATTTCATGGACACTGCGACGTACGAAATTCCTGTGTCTTTAAGACAGGGTACAAGTCAAATTTTGATCAGGACAATATAACATTCGTTAAGTATAATATTAAATATTACAAGTATCACAATTTCCTTCAATTCCTTCTTTTTCATTCATTGCAGAGAGAATTTTGTTGAATTTTATGGCAAGGTTCAACGACGATGGATAATTTTTATGAAATTTTTCGAAACGAGGATATTGTGTGTGAAC